GCAGCGCGCCCGCCCCGAGCGGTCGTGGGAGCTCTGCCCAGAGGGGGCCGGCAACGCGGACGCGGGAAAGATTACCGCGTGCTTTTGATGGCAGGTTTTTAAAGTCCGGGAGTGTGAGAACAAACAAAACCTGAGGAAGACCCAGGAAGACCCGGCCGGAAGTCATAGTATCCATAGAGACGTTATCGGAAGTTGGGGTTGCTAGGAGGCCTGGGCGCATTAGCTAATCTGCGCCATGGCTGAAGTCCCAGAAGATTATGATTCTGGCCCCGATGAAAATGAAGACCTGGAGTCTGAGAGACCAAAACAACCTAGGCCTCCTAAAATAGATGAAGATGCTGAACCAGACATCACAGCAAAGACAGGCCTGAAGCTACTTGAAGAGATTCACCAAGAACCACAGCCAGAGACGGAGGAAGAGAAGTTGAAAGACCGGACGCCAGAAAGTGCCGAGACTATACACCCACACCTAAAATCAACCAGGATATCAGAGGAAGAGATTCTCAAGGAGTCAGAGATAGGTCTTTCTAACGGGACTGAGATAGGGATCTCCCAAGAGGTAATGTTGGAGACATCCAGAGAGATGAGAAGAAAGCTTGTCAAGGATTTGGAGGTCCCTATGAATGAAAAACAGGAGCAGCCAGATCTAAAGCCAGCAGAGGAGACCAAACCAGATGTTACAGAAGGTGTGTTCATAGAGTCAGCTCAGGAAACAAATCTAGAGCTCCCAAAGGAAACAGAGTCTGAGGTTCCCCAAGCCATAATCAATGAGACAAGAGTAGAGTTACTAGAGGAGACCAAACTAGGGGTTCCAGAGGAATTGCTTAGAGAGCAAAATGAAGAACCTTCAGAACAGATCAAACCTGAATTTCCAAGTGAGAAACCAAGAAAAGTAATTGAAGATAGAGATCTACAGTCACCAGAGATGACCACTCCAGAATTTCCAGAAGAGACACAAAGAAAGTCATCTGAGGAGAAAAGCACAGAACCATCTGAGCTGACCAAACTGGAGTTTACAGAAGAGAAACCAATAAAGTCTACTAAGGAGGCAGGTCTAGAGCTTCTAGAAAAGACTACGCCAGAGGTTTCAGAGGACACAGGAAGAAAACCACCTGAGGAAAAAGGGACTGAGCAGATTAAACCAGAGTTTCCAGACCAGAAACCAATTGAGTCTACTGAGACACAAAGAAAGTTAACTGAGGGGAAGGTTCCAGAGCCACTAGAAGAGATAAAATCAGAGTTTCCTGAGGAAAAATCAAGAACACTAATTGAGAAAACAGGTCTGAAGTCAACAGAAAAGACCAAACCAGAAATTCAAGAGGAGACACAAAGAAAGTCAACTGTGGAGAAAGTTCTCAAACCACCAGAAGATACTGAACCAACAGTTATAAAAAATAAGCAAAGAAAACCAATTGAGATAGGACTAGCACCACCACAGAAGTCCAAAACAGAGGATATACTGAGTGAGTCAACTGAGAAGAAAGGTCTAGAGCCTCCAGAACAGACTACACCATGGTTTCTAAAGAAAGAACCAGAGACCCCAAGTAAATCAACTCCTCAGTTGCCACTACAGAACACCAAATCAAAGCTTCAAAAGAAGACACAAAGAGAGCCAACTAAGAATAAAGATTTAGAGTTACCAGATAAAGCCAAACCACTATTTGGACGAGAGACACATGATAAATTTACCAAGGAAGATAGGCCAAAACCAATCAGTTTTAAGCGTTTTGTAGATGAAGATGATCTGGAGGAGTCTGACTATCAAATAAAGTCGTTAGTAAAAGGAACTAAAAAACTTATTAAAGACATAAGCTCTTTCACAGTAAGAGAAGTAGAGTCAGTAAATATAGATCATTATTTTTCAAAAGAACACCTAATACTGTCTGAGCTTACCAGTAAGGACTTATATTCCTCAGACTCTCAGAGGGATTTAAGTGAGTCCTTGAGTGAAGAAGTTTTAGATTTGTTCCTAAAGTTGGAGGATGAAAAAGAAACCCAGCAAAAGGAAAGGACTGAGCTACAATTTGAGTATCTTAACTGGAGCCCAGAAAAAGTTGCAGAGTGGATTAGTGAGTTAGGCTTCCCTCAATACAAGGTATACAAAAATAACATTTTTTGAATCATACTCTCCTCTGTCTACCTCTCATTCCTCTACCTTACCTGAACTCTTGCCTCTGCCTTACTAGAAGGATTATAGAAATGTCCTGGACTATGGTAGCGATAACTTGAATTTTAATTTTGGCCTTTCCACTGATGTATATTTTGGAACAGGAAGGGAGAGTCACATTTGTATGTTTTTTTGTATTCATTACAGTTACTTTATTTCTCTGCAATCCTTGAATAAAGACTAAGAAATTTATATAGGCCTCTTTTTATAGAAAACTGTATTTTTTAATAGACTTCACTGAAGGTAGACGTTTTGGTTCTTTGAGAAGTTATTTTAGCTCCCTAACTTGAACTTGTATTATTAATCTTAAGTATCCCAAATATGTTATATATATCATGAGCACCTAGCAGCACTAATTTAAATAGCCAATTAATCAAAATTAGTTTTATTTAAAAGATAGAGTGAATCCTCATTTCATTGATGCCAACTATGTTCTTAGGCTACCATAAAACAATACAAGATCTAGAATCTTATGTAACCCTGTACTTAATGTAATTGAGGCATGAAAGAACTACTGGTTGTATCATGCCAAAAAAAATTAAGGAGTATGAAATTTTATCAAAAATTTAGATTGAAAATATGTGGGATTATTAGGATTATTACTAAATTTACACTTAAAATTTTCTCAGTATATAATGGGAGACAAACATGATTTATTCCCTCCCTTCCTTTACTTCTCTCCTCCTTTCCTCCCTACCTTCCTCCCTCCCTTCTCCATCTCTTTCTCTCTCCTTCTACCTCCCCCCCTTTTTCCCTTCCTCCTTCCCTCTCTTCTTACCTTCCTTCATTCTTTCCATTTGTTGTACATCTTTTGAGTGATGTTCTCATTGTACTGACAGGAGTGTTTTATCACAAACTTCATCAGTGGCCGAAAACTCATTCATGTAAACTGCTCAAACCTCCCTCAGATAGGGATAACAGATTTTGAAGACATGAAGGTGAGTTGTGTATCAAGTTTCCCCATAGAGCACTGTAATAATGCTACTGTCTATCTTCTAACCAACCTCCTTTTCTTCTCCCCTGGCCTCCTATTTCTGTCAGTTGTAGTAGTATACTCCCAGTCCCCCAGGCTCACAGTGGTTTTTTCTTCTCTCTCCTTTGATCACCACAAAGATCCCATGAACGTCAGTTCCTCCTATAGCATCTGTTTTTCTCCATTCCCACTTGTTAAGATCTTTATTGCCTTATGACTAGAATATTCCTGCTTTTAGCCTCTGTCTGTAGGCCCTTTGGACTCAAAGGCACTACTTTTAAACTCTCACCTTCCAACCATTTATATACTACTCAGAAACCTTCTTTGGATCCCCTCTGCCTACAATATAGTCTCAACTCCTTAGTTTAGGATTCGAAGTCCTCCACAAGTTTTCTCCAACCGCCATTCTCTCCCTACCTCTCTTCCACATGAATCTTCTGCTCCAGCCTCACAGGTCTAACTCACACCCTCACAAACCTGGCCTTTGCATTCTTCCCTCTGCAGCTCGCTCGGTTCCCTCGTCCCCTGTTAGACTAATATGAATCTTAATCATCCTTAGGACCCAGCTCAATTTTCATTTCCCTAAGAAGTCTTTCCTGACCTTCCCAGGTCACAGTAACCTCTCCTCCCAAGCTATACATTTTATGTCTCTGACATCCATTTGGCACTTCCGTAACACCAGATGTGTTTTGCCTCCTTTGCTACCTAACTTGAAAAACAACTTACATTCACCTCTCTGGACCTCAATTTCCTAAGATCTTTCTAGCACCAACAGTCCATGATCATGCTTCTTTGCATAAAAGTACCCTTCATTTTTAGTGCTTGATAGTTTACAAAGCCTCACACATATAATATCATTTATACCCTTTCCTTTAATATTCCCCAACATACCCGTGGTTTCATTCAGTACACTATTGCCTGTAAATGGTTCTGCCTCGGTAATTCTCAAACTCAGATAGTCTTCGAAATCAGGTGAGATTTTTATAAAAAGATTCCTAGGCTCCACACTCCAGAGACTTTGATTCTTTACATCTAAGGTAAACCCTGGAATCTGTTCCTTAGGTGACTTTTGATCAGGCCTTAGAACCATATAATTTCATCAGTCACATGATTTAGAAAACAAGAAAATTAATACTTGTTAATACCCTAACCCCTTTTCCAACAAGATATAAAGAAACCCTTTAAATTATTAAAAACATAGTTCTAACTGAACATTTACTCTCTTGAACTCTACTAATAATTATCCTCTCTAAGTGCTTACTGTGTGTTGGGTACCATATATGTATTATATTACTTAATCCCCATTTTATAGAAGAGAAAACTGAGGCCCAGAAGAGTGAAGCAACTTACACAAGATTATCTAGATAGTAAATTTAAGAGCCAGGATTCAAATCTATTTTGTGTGACTTCCCATACCATACTCTATTTAAACCATAATCCTATATTGCCTATCTAAATGAGCAATTTTATAACCTGAACCTCATGTTCATGATGTAGAAAAGGACTACTTATGACAAATTGGTATTTCCAACCATGCCCTCACATAGCTACCAAGTGCTACCAGATACATCCTATTTTTTTTTATGTTCAAAGATGATGCAACTGTATTTATGAGCTCTAATTCCCACTTGTGTTTTTAGTATACTAAATTTTCTAAATAAAAGTAAAGAACAAAATTATCAAAATAGTAACTTGTAATCTAAATTTCTGGAACATTAAGTACCAAGAATTTTACCTTTTTATCATAAAACTAGAGGCCCAGTGTACGGATTTGTGCACTGGTGGGGTCCCTCAGCCTGGCCTGTGCCCTCTCGTAATCCGGGACCCCTTGGTTGCCAGTTTTGGCCCGATCCCCTAGGCCGAAACCAGTCTGACATCCCCCAAGGGATGTAGTAGTAGAAATGGCAGGCAGTCGAGGAGGAGCCCAAGCCCCGATGGGTACTGCGCCACTCCTGCTCATCCCAGCTCTGCTGTGCCTGCTGCCACCACAGCTCAGTAGCGCTGCTACTCGCGCAGCTGCAGTGGTACTCGCCAGCCATGAGCCCAGCACCTGGCGCCCAATGGTCAGCTGAGCTGCGCTCCCACTGTGGGAGCACACTGACCACCAGGGAGAAGCTCCTGTGTTGAGTGTCTGCCCCCTGATGATAGTCAGTGCGCATCATAGCAACTGGTCAAATGGTCGTATGGTCTTCGGTTGTTTGGTCGACTGGTCACTTAGGGTTTTCTATATATAGAAAGCTTATTTAAGAGTCTGCTGATTCATCTTGCTGCCTTGACATTTTGATTCCAAAAGTACAATATCAACATGCAATGATGAAAATTCCAATTGTGTTTTTTCTGGTCTTGTAAGAAATAAGAGGTCTTTAAAATCTTCTGAAATCCTTGAGTAAATGATGAACCCAGTGGTCTAATATCCCAAGAAGTTTGAATAAGAAAACTTAGGAATATTTATTATCAAAATCACCAGACAAATGTGGCTGCTCCTTAATGTCACTAGAGTAACATAAAGATCAAGACATTCAAAGATATGTTGGATAAGCTTTGCTTGACACTTAGATCCACATAGAAAAGCTAATTATACACTCTGACACAGGTAACTTTTTACAGATCACACCTGAACTTAGTTATGCCATAGTTCCCTTCCTTCTAGATATACTACGCATATTTATTCCCACTGTTGTAATTATAGTACCAAGTACATCCACAGTTTATCCCATAACAATGCCCAAGCAATGAAGTTATCTTTTTCATGCTCTCTCTCCCACTCGTGGGCTTTGGGAGAGGTGGGGAGTGAGGGGAGAGCAGGTTGCTTGAGAGTAAAGAATTCTGAACATGCTGCTGAGAAATGGGACCACATTTGAACTATGTACCACATTCACAAGCCTTACAGTTCATAATGGCCAGTTTCTATTCTCTTCAACTTCCTTAATTTGGCAATTACTCATGCTTCACCTGCAGAAATAACTCACCTTTCCCTTTGCCCTTCCTACAACACACTTGGATGACAGAGAAAAGGTAAATGTGTAGATGAGACTGGTGAAGAGTGCAGGAGGAAAGAAGCACCAACTCTTCACCTGGCCAGAGGAGCTCTAGAAACCACTGTCCAGTCTTTCCCTTTTGTAGCGATGCATTGCCTTGGTAATGGGGATAAGGAAGCCAATCCTATTCTAGGGATGAGCTAGACAAGATAGCATCAGACTTATTTCAGCTTTCTCTCTTAGAATATAATTCTCAAAATATTTTTAACTATTCTCTCCAACAAGTGAACAAAAGAACTCTATGATAAATATTTGTAGGACGTAGATGGATTGCTTATTCCTTGTATGCATGATTTCATATTACAAAGTATAGCTGTATAAGCTTTATAAGATTTCAGCAATTTCCTTGTTGCAAACTATTTAAATAGCACAAATTCATAACATGTCCTAAATTATCACTAGACAAAAATAGTTTCTTAACTTTTAATTTTCAAATAGTTTTAGTTTTACCAAAGAGTGGCAAAGATAATGCAGAGAGTTTCTGCATACTCTTCAATATTAACTTCTTGCAGTAGGTAACCATGGTCTATTTGTCAAAACTAAAAAATTAACATCGGTACAGCACGATTAAACAAACTACAGACTTTATTAAGATTTCTGCAATTTTTCCACTGATGCCCTTTTGTTGTTGTTCCACAATCCAATCAGGGATACTACCTTGCATTTAGCTGTCATGCTTCCTTGGTCTCCTCCAATAGGTGGCAGCTTCTTGATCGATCGTTGTCTTACATGATCTTGACACTTTGAAGAGTAGTAGTCAGGCATTTTAGTTTGTCCCATGTTTCCCATGCTTTGTGGGGAAGACTATCACAGAGGTGAAGAGCCCTTCTCATCTCCTAAGTTCAGGCAGTCCATGACATCAACACAACTCATCATTGGAGATGTTTATCTTGATCAGTTGGTTCAGGTGGCATCTGCCAGGTTTCTTCACTGTAAAGTTACTGTGTTTCCCTTTCATATTCTGTTCATTTTTTTAAAATATATTTTATTGATTTTCCACAGAGAGGAAGGGAGAGAAATAGAGAGTTAGAAACATCGATGAGAGAGAAACATCGATCAGCTGCCTCCTGCACATCCCCTACTGGGGACGTGCCTGCAACCCAGGTACATGCCCTTGACCGGAATCGAACCTGGGACCTTTCAGTCCGCAGGCTGACGCTCTATCCACTGAGCCAAACCGGTTTCGGCATATTCTGTTCATTAGAAGTGAGTTACTAAATCCAGCCCACACTCAAAGAGAAGAGAAATAAGCTTCACCTCCTGAAGGGAAGAGTATCAAAGAGTTTATGGACATAGAGTAAAACTACCACTGTAATAAATAGATTGGAGGAGATAGTTTGAGATTGTGGCAATATCCTGTTTCTCCTTCAAGTTGTACTTACTAATTTTAGCATTCATCAATGGATCTTGCCTGCAGCAGTTATTACTATGTTGTTCTAATGATGATTTTCTATTTCCCTCATTCCTTCCATGTTTTTTTTAAATATGTTTTTATTGATTTCAGAGAGAAAGGGAGAGGGAGAGAGAAAGATATAAACATCAGTGATGAGAATCATTGATCGGCTGCCTCCTGCATGCCCGCTACTGGGGATCAAGTCAGCAACCCCGACCAGAATCGAACCCAGGACCCTTCCATGGCCACAGGCCAACGCTCTATCCACTGAGCAAAACCAGCTAGAGCCCTTCCATGTTTAATTGGAACTCTTCTTAGGGAACTCTTCTGTAAGCCCTGCCCGGGTAGCTTGGCTGGTTAGAGCATTGTCCTGATACGCCATGGTTATGGTTTTGATCCAGGTCAGGGCACATACAAGAAGCAATCCATGAATGCATAAACAAGTGGAATAACAAATCAATGTTCCTCTCTCTCCCTCTCTTTCTCTCTCTCTAAAATCAATAAATAAAAATTTAAATAAAAAAAAGAACTCTCTCCAATGCTTAATTGTCCCTTCTCCCCCATTTGGGACTCTATCATTGGCTCTCTGTGTCATGTTTGCATGCTCCCCTATTTTTATTTGCATTTTTTGGTACTTTTTAGCACTATGAGTTCATACTGATTAATATCTCTGACTCTAGTCTGGCACCACAGGGTTCATTCCAGCCTTCCCATCCTTCGTATTCCCTATTCCCCGTTGTTTTTTATAACTTCTTTCTCTGACAGTGAGAAGTTGGCTCTCCTTATCTGTAAATATGTATCTATGAGAAACACATTTATCAGATAGAGCGCAGTGTTGTGTGCAGTGGTTTTTGTCCTTAGCTTTACACTACCTAGACAAAGCAATGTTTTTTCAAAGTCATCTCCTTTCTTCCCTACCTCCTTCAATGACATTATGTCTTACTTTGTAGTACAGTTAGATTCATTTGATTCCTATATGCCATCAGGGTTACCACAACATCCTGGCTCCTTAAAAACTTGCATAGCCCTAGCCAGTTTGGCTCAGTGGATAAAGCGTTGGCCTGTGGACTGAAGGGTCCCAGGTTTGATGCCAGTCAAGGGCACATGCCTGGGTTGCGGGCTCGATCCCCAGGAGGGAGTATGCAGGAGGCAGCCGATCCATGATTCTCTCTCATCACTGATGTTTCCCCCTCTTTCTCTCCCTCTCCATTCCTCTCTGTATGAAATCAATAAAAATATACTTTTAAAAAACCTTGCATAAAGTCACCTTTTATAGTGTATAGTTCTGTGGGTTTTGACAAATACACAGGGTCATGTATCCAGAATAGTTCTATCTCCCTAATATTTCCCATGTACCCTCTGTAGTCAGCCCATCCCTCCTGTCCCTGGCAACCACTAATCTGTTTTTTATCCCTTTAGTTTTGAATTTTCTAGGATGTCACATAAATGGAATCAAATAGTACGTAGCCTTTAACTTTGGCTTCTTTCCTTTAGCAAAATGCATTTTAATTAATCCACATTGTTATATGAATCAACAAGCAGATTTTAAGAAATTATACATGTTTTCTAATAATGGTGGTATAGATGATTCATAATTGAATCTCAACAATCATGTCTTTAGGTTTAATTAAGATAACTCACAGGGGCCTAGCCCGTTTGCTCAGTGGTTGGAGTGTCGGCCCACGGGCTGAAGACTCGATCCCTGGCCCTAGTTGGGGCATGTACGAGGGGCAACCAATCAATGTGTCTTTTATACATCGTTGTTTCTCTCTTTCTGTCTCTTCCCCCACCCTTCTATTCTCTCTAAAAAATCAGTGGAGAAAATATCCTCAGGTGAGGATTAACAACAACAACAACAAATAAATCATCGGTTTCTATTAAGCAAGTGAGCACTGCTACTATAAGGTAACTAAGCAGTATCTAATAAATTGATAATGATGAAGCAAAACTATCAGTAGTTTACAAATAAAAGCAAAAATAGCATCCTTTGAAAATCATGATCAACACACAATACAATGATGATATAGGAATAATTAGAATCTTCTTGAAAACTATAGGTGATACAAATTCCTACTTGAGACCATGTGAAGTAGGTGCTCTGCAAGCATCGAGTATGGGCCACCATCCTAGAATATGGAATTAAGAATCCTTGGAAAACTCTAATATTAATCTTCCTGAATACATAGTTTTAATAATCCTTCCTAACTCAAGTTACTAGTAAATTGCTCTAACTCTTAGGCAAAAATAAAGTCTATTGTTTGTTATTAATCAAAATTAAAGAAAGAACTCACAGTTTTAGATAAGTTTGTAGCCCTCATTGTCCATCAGTACACCTCAGATATACTTTAAGAATCATTGGATTAGAGGGATGATCGGATTATATTTCTTGATTCCACATGTAACTAATTGCTTTACAACACACTTCATTTCTACATTAGAATATTAAACAATACTGGACCCTCTTGGCCTACAATAGGCACATTTCTGTAAATTTCAGTGAATTTGTGAAATAACTCCTTCTGGTAAGGGACATTCAAAAGGAGATTCAGGGTGAGGTGCTGACCAAGCAAGGTGCTCAATGTAGCAACATCTGTTATAAATGAGAATTCTTAAAAGCCACCTGTAGTAATTTGGATCTGAACTCTTAGAAACACCTTAATTAGTAGTCCCACTGGAAATGCAAGGCAACTCTCTTTTACCCACAGACCATCTCTAGAGTGTAAACAAAACCAATTCAAGTAAGATTTGAGAAGAAAGTTATCTTTCCTATCTGAAATATATGGCTAATGGGCAGTTTTGTATCAGGTTTAGAGTTGTCTGTGGCATGAATTTTACAGTCTTATAATTGTAGATTAACTGAGCTCCCTATAGACAAGTTATTTATTAGACTTCCCAGAGATAGTCAGGGCTCCTAATCTGAACATATTATTTGCTCAGATGATTGGTCAGATTGCTCAAAAGAAAATAAATTAACCCATCCGTGGCCATGCAAGGGCCTAGAAACACCTTTAAATAGGACTCTTAAAAAGAGAAATCATGTTATGTTTCTCAAGATCTTTGTTTTGAGAAGGCCAGGCTAGTAAGCCTTTCAAAGTGTTATTTCGTTATTTAATTTTCCCATAGAAATAGCTTAAGAGGTTAGCATTCAAAAGGCCTACGACAGTAAGTAGAACTGCTTTGATTTAGTTGTATTTTCAGGTTAGTCCCATTAAAAAATTATCCTTGTATTTCAGGCAATTTCTCGGCACACGCGGGCGCTACTGGGATTTGAAGAACCATTATTTAAACGCTCCATCCGTCTTCCCCATAGGGACAATATTGGCTTATTTTTAGAACAAAAAGGTCATACTGGGGAAACATCTGATTCCTTGACCTATTCTGAATTTGTGCAAACAGCAGGATTACAAGATTATGAGCCACGAATAACTGCCCCTGACAAGAATTAGGCATTCTATTATACTGAGCCACAGAGAAAAGCCATTTCACTTAGCTTGAAAGATCAAACTAAATTACTTGGTGGAAGAAGTGTGGTCTTTTTGGGTTTTCTTTTTCTCCTCCTCATTAAGGATCAGAGTAGAACTCCTGGCACTATTCCTAGATCTATCGCCCACTTGCAGCACGTTCCTGTATTTCTGTTTCAATTTAGCCTGTCATTAGAACAAAGATAATGCCCTGGCCGGGTAGGCCAGTTGGTCAGAGCTTAGTCCCAATACACCAAGGTTATTGGTTTGTTTCCCAGTCAGGGTTCATACAAGAATCAACCAATGAACGTATAAACAAATCGATGTCCCTCTCTGCGCCCCCAACCCTTCCTCACTCTCTAAGAAAAAAAAAATCAATTAAAAAAAAACACAATTTTGCCCCGGCTGGCATGGCTCCCTGGTTGAGCATGGACCCATGAATCAAGAAGTCATGGTCCAATTCCCAGTCAGGGCACATGCCCAGGTTACAGGCTCAACTCCCAGTAGGGGGAATGCAGGAGGCAGCCAATCCATGATTCTCATCATTGATGTTTCTCTCACCCTCTCCCTCTCCTTACCTCTCTGAAATCAATAAAAAATGTATTTTTTTAAAAAAAATTTATTATTGAATGAGTATTAAATCAGACTGTGATGCACATCACAAGCAAGCTGCTAAAGAGATTGAAAAGACAAAGAAATATCACCGTTTTATATAGCCAGGCACATATTGCATACATGTTAACTGTCTGTATCTCACATCTCCATGACAAACAGGAGATTATTATTTGGAGCCAGGCACTAGGCTAAACTCCCACAGATTCAGGGAGACCGGGTGTTCACATTTCAGAGATGGCTCCAAGGCCCCCCAGAAAATCAGTCCTGGGATATAAAATTGTCAGAAGGCTTATTCAGCTTTTTAAAATATTTATATACATCTCAAAAACAGAGAAAAGGGATTTATACTACAAGTTTTCTAAAGAAATATTTCAGCATCAGAGAAATATTTTTTTAAATCTGTTTTTAGATTTGTATTTATCCTTACAAATAGCATGGCTATGGAAGTACCCTCATGAACTAGGGGCCGAGGTTTGTTTAAAGGCTCCTACGTGGTACCTGCTAGACCTTCATAAAATAAAATTCAGGCCAGAGTCTACCCATGACTGGACTGCTCAAAAGAAATTACAAAATACTTTTTGTCACTCTAATAACTCCAGTTCCTCTCTACTTTTATAGATTTAACTGCTCTTTTCCTTCCCAGTCTCACTTCTTAATCCTAAAAACCACTAAAGGGCCACCATAATCCAGAAGGGCAAAGATGTATCCTGTCCAGTTCCCCACACCTGAATGAATAGTCAAAGGAATACATTTCTTTTTTTCTACTGAGAGAAGGAACAGTGCCTCAAATTAGCATTCACACAGAATGTTAATATATAGTGATGAGCCCTAGCCAGTTTGGCTCAGTGGATAGAGCGTCGACCTGTGGACTGAAAGGTCCCAGGTTCGATTCCAGACAAGGGCACATGCCGGGGTTGCGGGCTTGATCCCCAGTGTGGGGCATGTAGGAGGCAGCCAATCAATGATTCTCATCATTGATGTTTCTCTCTCTCTCTCCCTCTCCCTTCCTCTCTGAAATCAATAAAAATACATTTTAAAAATATATATATTTAGTGATGAGCCTAATTTTCCCTTAAATTGGACTAACATTTTTATCTCAAACAATTCAATACCATTGAATTTGCCTAAGTCATAATTATGCAGAAAAAAAAAGTGTGAATGATTAAGGTAGGGCCATGGTGGTTTACTTATGGAGTGAATGGCTTTGTTCAAAAGCACTTTAGCAGTTGGCACACAATGTTTTGTTCCTCTTTCTCCATTTAGTGGTCACTGCTGCTCTTTCCTGCTGTATTATAATTGACATAAAGTATTTACAACATAAAGGAAATAAACTTGCACTATAGAAATAAGATCTCTATTTTACAAAAGTACTTTTAGCCACTTAATAAAAACGCCAGCTATTTAAAAAAAATATTTGTATGGTTAAAAATGCTTTAAGTGGGAACAGCTTTTTAAATAAGATAGTACCGAGTCACATATAGCTGAAATAAGCATGAAATGAGTCACAGTTAAGTTGTTTACCACACATTTTATTTCTCTATCTAAAATGGTAGGAAAGTGAAGCTGTATCATTTGTCAGCTATATACCACTACAGGAAAAGAAGCTAATAATGACATTATACCTTCTTAAATTCAGCTTTTAGAAGAGAGATAATTTGTATTAACAAGGCTCTCATGGGGAAGAAGCTTACTTAAGTGTATTGGGTTATGTAGTTTCACAGATACACACATATACCAATGTAAAGGACCTCTCATTTTAATCTACATTATAAAGAGCCATCAGTACCATTTTCTAATTCCTGATTGCCTAACTTCTGCAAACAGTCCCATGAGTCCCCACTGTCAGTTGTGATGATCTGAGTATGACCATTGTAGTGAGAGAAAGAATCCTGAGTCCTGAGGTATCTTCTCTTATTAGAACAGAGTGTTTCTGGAGACCATTGGCTGTTGTTCTTTGGTAAAGGAGAGGTCAAATTCATTACAGTAGAAATGGATAATGTGGTCCTGGAGACTAGTACAGGTTAAGAGCTTCCTAGTAAAGGGAGTTTCCCTGAGTTGCACAGCAGCCAGATCAAACCAGGGTAGAGGCCTGGGTGGGAAAAACAAAAAACAACTGTTACCTTTAGGTCTGCTCAAAATAAATGATTTAGCTGTACACATTTCCTTTAAAGAATGTTTTCTGCCCTGACCAATGGGGGCTCCATTGGTTGGAGCACCACCCTGTGTGGGAAGCAACCAATGGATGTTTCTCTCTCCCCTCTCTCTTTCTCTCTCCCCTCTCTCTTTCTCTCTCCCCATACCCCTTTAATTTAAACAAAAAAAAATGTGTTCCTCCACTTGGAAATAAGGTTCTTCATTTTTCTATATCAAACTAATTCAAATTCACAATTAAATAAAAATTTCAGCTAAAACTACCCAATATGTAGATTTAATTGTACTTACATACATTTCTCTAAGTGCATCTTGGGAGGAATTCGTAATTAGAGAATGATTATGATAGTGACATTGACATCCTTTTCAGTGTATTTCCCTTGAATTTAGAAAGAGACTACATAAAAGGATCATGAACATTAGGAATGAAAAATATCTCATTTCAAATATCCTCTTTTAAAAAAAAAAGGCATCCTCTTCAACTCTTTAGGGAAAGAGTAGAAGTTAGCATGCCCATTAATATCCTGCAGTTTACCAAATGATAAAAATCACATTTCAAATTGGTAGGAAAAGGATTGGCTACTCTATAGTGTTAAGACAACTGGCTTTCAAAAATGAATAAAAACCCTAAATTTATTAAAGATTTAAATATTTAAAAAATAAAATCCTAGAAGAAGATTTAGAACATTTGGGGATAAAGAAGGTCTTTATAAGTATGACTTGAAACCATAAAGAAGTAACTTGAAAATTTTGACTGTAAAAATTAGAAGCTTCTGTACAGCAAAAGATACCAAAAAGAATATGAAAAATATTTCTAACTAGTGGCCCCCCGGTGCATGAATTTGTGCACGGGTGGGGTCCTTATTCCAGCCCCACTGTGCCTGCCACAGGCTCGCGCCCAATCAGTCCCAATTGGGAGAGGCTCTCACTGCTGTAGCCATGAGCCCTGCATCTGGTGCCCTCCCAAGGGGAGTAGCCTGCGGGATTGGGCTGAAACTGGCTCTCCGACATCCCTTGAGGGGTCCCGGATTGTGAGAGGGTGCAGGCCAGGCTGAGGGACCCCACCAGTGCACGATCAGGCCAGGGAGGGACCATGGAAGGGCTCCAGGGTGTGTCCAGCCCATCTGGCTCAGTCCCAATCAGCCAGATGCCAGCAGCAAGCTAACCTACTGGTCAGAGGATCTGCCCCCTGGTGGTCAGTGCACATAATAGTGACTGGTCGACTGTCTGCCTCCTCGTGGTCAGTGTACATCATAGCAAGCAGTTGAGCAGCCTTAGCATATCATTAGCATATTACACTTAGATTGGTTGTTCAGTTGTTCTGCCGTTCAGTCTATTTGCATATTACCCTTTTATTATATAGGATACTTAAAACATATCCCTACTGAAAACCCCTGTAAAAAAATAAATAAAAAGTAAACAATCCAAATAAGAAATAGTCCAAGAACATAAAATGATGAGAGAGAACACAAGAGCAATGAGTTTGGAAGCTGGAAAGAATATGGACAATAACATGAGCCAAGGCACAGTCCATTTACATCATAGAACCCACAAAAGACTCAGGTTTCAGAGAAAGGATGAATTCAAAAATTAGAGGTACCCTGGGCCTCTCTCTCAACAGTAACTCTAACGACTGAAAGACAATGGAGCAATGCCTTCAAACTTCTGAGAGAAAATTATTTCTAAGCTAGAATTCTATGCCTGGCTATGTTCCCAATAAAAATATTAGGTTAGAATAAAAACATTTTCAGACATAGTCTCTAACAATTACTTCCAAGGCGTCCTTTCCTAAGGAAGCCCCTGGAGGAGGACCTGATCCCCAATGAAGGAGTAAGCCATGCCAGAGGAAGAGAGATCCAGAACAAGATCCACAATAAGAGAGTCGTGGAGGGAATCCCAGGAAAATGGGGGAGGGAAATCCCGAAACTGGAAGTGTAAGGCAGGCCATTGGTGATTGATTAGAATACAAAAGAGGGAAGAATCAAGGATTACTTCCAGAGGTCTGGCTTGAACAACTGGTGAAGAAGCTTGTAACTAGATAAGAAATCCAGGAAGAGCAGGTCTGCTTTGGACACACCAAGGCTGAGTGGAGACAGAGAGTGTGAACTACCTGGGCATGAAACAGACTAGAGATATAGGCTCGGTGGTGTCCCTGTAAAGTTGGCAACCTAAGTTCCCAAAGTGGAAAAAGATCACCCAGGAACCAAGTGTAGAAAGAAAAGGAAGGCCTATGACAGAGCCCTGAAAACTCCCAGATTTAAGGATGGGGCAGAAGAGAAGCTGGCCAAGGAGGGGCCGGAAAGACAGAAAGAAAATGAGGAGAACAGGAGGGTATCAGGAAAGCCAAAAGAGGAGATTGCACCAAAAAGAATGGCATTTCAATAGTCAAGGAAGAAGAGGATTTAAATGTGTCCAGTGAATTTAGTGACAAGAAGCAATTGTAATAAGAGCAGCATTTTTTCCCCATTAGATTGTCAAAGGTTAAACAGATTGATCTTAAAGTTATGAAGCCATAGGTAATGGCACTCTCTTACACTATGGGTGGAAATAAAAATAAGCACCATGTTTTCGATAAGCAATTTACAAATGCCCACAAACAAAACACAGGGTGTCCCTCCAAGATGTATACACA